GAACCATGCATTCGGCACACAGAGTTAGTGCACCACCCGTTGAATAATAAAATTGTATTGAACAATACTTTTTATTATTATTCAACGCAAGGAGTTCCGAACGGGTGACAATTTTTTCTGCATAATCCGTAAGGTCATCACTTTGATCACTTACGTAATTGCTATCGTCAGACAATGCGTGCTCTTCGTCTTCAATATCAATGTCAATATTGTCAATATTGTCAATCTCTATTTCTTCTTCATTTTCAAACACTTCGTCCACTATATTCACAAAGTCTTCCTCATCCATAATAAACACATTTTCTATATTCAACACATTATCCATTTTCATCGTCACCTATTTTTTTCACACACATTAGACTTCTATCTACTGTGATCCTGCACATGACCCATTATATATCATCGACAATTTCTTTGTTTAAATCGGAACATCATCATCATAGGTCTCCCTAATTTGTTTATAGCAGCCGGAGTATCGGCGCTTCTCTTGACACGCCGCGACACGTACGCCGATTTCGGCGAAAAAAACCATCATAAGTCTCTCTGATTTGTTTATAGTAACCGGAGTATCGACGCTTCTCTTAACACGCCGCGACACGTACGTCGATTTCTACGAAGAGCTATCTTTTCACGGGCTCTTCCTAGAAAAAAAATTTAAATGTCATCGCGCTCCTTTGCGAACATGTCGCTACATGTTTGATTGCAACAATGAAATTCTTAGAAAAAAGGGGGAGGGGAAAGGTGGGGGGATTAACGGTTTGCCATGTCAAAAAATTTATGCGATCAGTCCTCCTCCATCGAACGATCTGCACGACAAAAACGGTACTCCGCTCCTCCATCGTTCGAACAACACGCAATGTATTCCGTCAAAGGAAGCAGCGCACCGTACAATGGCGAAAAACAAAAGAAGGAATGTAACGCGTAAGTTTCACCTGCATTTTTTTATTTTTTCTCTTTTTTTCAATATTGTGAAGTATTATATATTTAATTTCCACAGTATTTCGGTGGAGCGTCGCGCGGTGCGCTTACTGAGCAGACGTTACACTCTGACGGCTACGAGTTACAAATTTCTGGAAATTGGAATCAACGTTGGTCCACCGAGCTACGTGGAGATCGCTCTGGGAGATCATCGGGGACAGGAATTGATACTGTCTCTCGAAACGTGGAAGGGACTCTACGAGCAGCGATGGAATATCTATAAATTGTTGCTAAACGATTACAAAGACAATTTTATAAGCGTCGGACCGTTAACCGTCAGAATTTGTCTGATGAACAACGTTACACTCGTACGTCTTGAATCTTTGAACGTACGCGTAACGATGATCGAATCGACGTTACGTCGAATGTTTGCTCTGAACGAATGTATCGATGTGACGTTCGATCGACTCGTTAGATTCGTCGATACGATCGATACCAAGTATACGCGATTCTCCAACATCGCGTCTGTTGTAACAGATCCCGAGGAAGTGCCGAACGCGATACGCGATTGCGATATCTTCGATAGACGCCAACTCGTCGATTGCGAGCTGTTAGCTTTAGTTTTTAGTGTATAAGAAAAACATGTGAATAAAAAAATTTCACACTTAAAAATATATTCAATTTGTTTAAAAATATAAACATATATAATATGCAAAAAACATGTATTTCTTTCATTTCTTTCTCCCTCACCATAAAATAATTAGAAAAATAATATTCTCCATAAGAGAGAGAGCCGCAACGGAAGAGATAATAGATATATACGAGAGAGAGAGATATTTATTTTTTACTCGGCGGCGGTGGCGGCGGGCGCGGCGGCGGCGGCAGCGGCGGCGGCCTCCCCCCTCTCCCCCTCTGACGTCATGTCCACGCGTCCAATTCGTTATTTATCTTTTGGTAATTATTTATCACGGTGCTCTGAAGGCATCAATCGTCGACGCTGTTTACATTCAATGGGTCGCCCAACACGCGCCGTCCCCCCCTCCCCCCTCCCCGGAGCTCCTCGGTTGCGCACAGTTCCCCCCGCACACCCGCACCCCCCTCAACGCTTCTGGGTTAGAACCCGCCTTATATTCCTACTCACGTACGTATGCCCGCCCGCCCGCCCGCACGCCTGCACGCACGTACGCACGCACGCCTGCACGCACGTACGCACGCACGCACGCACGCACGCACGCATGCATGCAAGCACTATTTAATGTAATAAATATTTTTAATTTCAAATAATTCCAAATAAAAACCAGTTATTCAGTTGTTCAGAAGTGATGGCAGAAAATACGACAGGTACAAGATACCAAATTTCTACCATAAAACATGGTGAAGGTAATGATTGAGATGATGTTGATTGAGATTAAGGATACTAAAAACCCTATAATCGGAATATATTGACACAGCATATGTGTAACGATGCATCCCCGAGCATCGTTCCATCTGACACTCCTCTGAACGACGGAAGCCGACCGTTCGTCGGCTTTAAAAGCGCAAAAAGCGCTGATAAACTTTTAATAATAAAAATATTAATTACGGCCTACGGTCCGTACGGGGAATCTTCGCTACTTAGCGCGACGCGGCAGAAATACCCGATCGTGTCCGAAAAGGTCCGAACGCGTAGTTGAAATTGTCATGTTAACAATAAATAATTTATTTATTGTTATTTTCAATATAATAAGTTGGTGGTAAAATAATACCCGCGGATCGATCCGAAATTCCGAAACCGACTGAATTATCGATCCGTGGGGTATAAAAAGCCCGATCTGACCGAAATAAGAACAGATTCTCGGAATCATCCGTCGGACTCGCATCAGCGAAACCGATCTCGACAGAGAATCAGCCGAGAAGAGGTTGCGAGTACGCAGTACGCAGTCCCAGTCAGGCGTTACTGGTCAGAACTGATCTTTGTCTTCTTTCCGACCCGCCAAATCCGCTTGCCACTCGAGATAGCGTGTTCGCTGTCTCAGCCAGAAGTTACTGGCACCAGTTAAGTACCTTTCCACCATCCGAATAACAAAGAACGATAAACAATTGCCACCGCCAGGTTGTTTCTGGCCGTTGTGTCCCGTAGCCGAACACGTCGGTACGTTCGCCGCTGTGAACGGCCTTCACCGTCTTTTCTCCGAGAATCAACATGCGATCCGCGCTCATGACAAAATTCATCCGCGCCCGTGACGTTTTGATTCAACCGCGTCCGCGACGTTTCGACTCTCGACAGCGCCTGCTATGTTTCGACTCTCGACAGCGCCCACCGTAAATAATCGCACTGCGCGTCAATCTATTGTAAACCTGCGCTGTACATAATCGCGACAATGTATTGTAAACCGCTATAAATAACTGTGTCCCGTGTCCAATTATTGTAAATTGCCGCTGTAAATACTCGCATAATAAACCATTATAATTCCTTCGTTGGAATATTATGCACAAATACACTGCGCTAATCGTCCGAGATTCGCGCTAATTATCTTTGTTTGTAAAATACGCTGCAATCGTTGGTATCATGGTTAGTCATCTCAATTGCTCATCTAAATTATTTACTTGAATAAATAATTCCTATTAAGGACATTACATTCATCTTGCCGTCTTTTGCACTCCAACTTCGGATAAACCGACGAGCGTATCCGCGTATATTAAACTCAAATGAAACTCCGCACCGGCGAAAAGACGGTTCGTTTTATAACGCCCGAACAGGGACGTTCCGCTAAGCAAAGATGAATATTTTATATAAGTGATACAGCGATTGAGTGACATATTAACAAAATGCCAAAAATACAAGACCTATCGAAGGCGGAAGCCCAGAAAGAATTAAAAGCACGAGAGGTTTTTCGATGAAGGGGACTCTCGAAGAGTTGCGTCAGCGTTTACGCGAGTACGTCGAACAGCACGCGGCCGCCAGACCTAGCATCCAGAACGCGAAAATACTGAGACAACGAAAGCTCACGAGATAGAGTCGCACCAAAAGCCCAGACTACGGCAAAAATTATCAATCAAATTAGAAAATGGGACTGCCACTTCGATGGGCGCGACTCATGGGCATTCCTTGAGCACGTGGAAGAATTGAGCACTGCGTATGATTATACCGAGCAACACCTGCTGCTAAGGCTACATGAAATGCTCCGCGGGAATACTTTTTGGTACAGAAATCACCGAGCATGGATCCTGAGAAGAATTCACGGAAGATTTCCGGGCACAATATCTACCCAATCGATATCGCGTTCAACTATAACGCGAGATAATAGCGCATACAGAAAACAGGGGAAGTCTACGCAAAATACGCGACGTGCAGACTCTCATGAGACGTGCTGGGGGATAGCCAGCTCCGCACTAAGTCGACCAACTTTATGAAAATCTCCACCCGGATTATAAATTGTATATCCGTCGCGATGACGTCCGCATTCTCCGCGACCTGCAATAATGCACCGTGAAATATGAAGAGATTTAAAGGCAACGACAGAAAACCCGCGTAGAAGCCGAGAAAACCGCGCCGACCGTAGCCGCCTCCGCGTACGATTCGAAAGTGTTGTTGGCGTTACAAGCAATGCAGGCACACCCGTTTTGAATGTTGTTTTGTAATCCGCACCGATTCTCAGTGCGGCAAGGATGGAGTCTACACACTAGATTGCCATCCGCCATCGGAAAACGCCGCTCGGGTCGGGGAATCCGCCGCATTCCGGTTCTCCGCCTGAGGTTATTTATTGTGACCGCACCTAATCGTTATCAACACGGTACAAGCCTTGCTGGATACCAGATCCGAAGTATCATTCATTAACGCCGCAATCGCGCGAATTGCCCGAAAATTAAGATTCACACCGAACAACTGCTAGACTCAGGTGCAGTTGGCGGATGGGCAATCCATGAGAACACAAAGAGCGATACTGATTCCCGTAAAACTCGGAACACAATCACAAACGGTGGCACCGTTTTTACATCTTGCCCATCGTTCCATAGCGACATGCTGATCGAAGTCGACTTCTGGGCCATCATATTATTATCCGATCGCCGTCGCGTATGACCGCTGCCGAAATAGCCACGACAACCGCAATCACGCCGGACGAACGCTTATGCGAATTCCTACGGAAAGAACTTGCGGCGTTCGATAATATTAGCGGACCGACCGACCGAACAGAATACAAGATCAGATATTATTTGATTAAACAAAGATATCGGTCCTGCAACCCGGCCATGTAAGAGATCATAAATAAAAAGGTAGACGAAATGCGCGCGAATAAAATCATCGAGTCATCGCATAGCAGTTGGAGTTCTCCGTCGTTATTGTCCGAAAAAAAGATATGAAGCCGCGATTTTGTATAGACTTCCGTCGAATAAACGACATAGCCGTCCGTGACGCATATCCACTACCACAAGTGTCCGCAACGCTCGACAAACCCCGCAGTGTTTAATAATTTTCCACTCTCGATTTGAAGATACTAATAAGTACCGCTCACGCCCAAAAGTCGAGAGATCATTTACCGTACCGGGCCGAGGACTTATGCAGTTTCGCGTGATGTCGTTTGGATTACATTCCGCACCCGCAACGTTTCAACGGCTGTTAGACTCAATTATCAGATCAAAGCTAGAACCGCACGCTTTCGTGTATTTAGACGACATTGTCGTTGTCACACGAACGTTCGATGAACATTCAAAGTGTTGTCCGACGTATTCCGCCGACTACGCGACGCACAACTACAAATTAACCCCGGAGACATGCCGGTTCTGCACCGATCAAATCAAATATCTCGATCATATTGTTGATCACGATGGACTCCGTATCGATCCCGAAAAGATGAGCGTAATACGAAATTGATCAACTTTGACCACGGTTAAACATGTCCGGCAATTCTTGGGGATGACATCATGGTACCACCGCTTCATAAAAATTTCGCGGCGTAGCCGTTAACCGCCCTTAACGCGAAAGAACACATACTGAGCCTGGAGCACAGAGACGGACAAAGCGTTTGTCGCGTTAAATCAACAATTGATATCCGCACTGGTGCCCAGATTTCAACCGGCAATTTTTGTTGCAGATCGACGCCAGCACGCACGATTTCGGTGCCATGCTTACGCAAAACTTTCCCGAAGGTGAACGCGTTATTGCCTATGCAAGCCGCACGCTAAACGGAACCGAGCACAATTACAGCGCGATCGAGTTCGAATGCTCGGCCGTGTGGGGCATCCGATGAATGCGCGGATATTTCGAAGGATATCACTTCACTGTCGTGACCAACCATCAGGCTCTCTGATGACTGCAAAAGTTAAAATCGCCCAACGGACGATTAGGAATGGTCGCTGGAATTGCAGCAATACGACTTCGAAATCAAATATCGAAGGGGAGTATTAAATAAAGTCGCCGATATCCGCCCGGCAACTATCGCGCCAGCCCGAGTTCGCCGCGGTGATACAATCGACTTACCGTTGGTATTATTGAATATGGAAGCAAGTAGAATCTGCATCGCACACCGCACCCGATTACTATACGCGAAAATAAATTGTATCGGCCTACATAATTTAAACTTTTGCGAGATACCTCCCACCAAACAGTGGAAGTCTGCGTGCCTCCTGACAACTCACCGAAATTATATGGCAATATCACGACGCTCCGATCACCGGTCATCTGGGCATCGCAAAAACAATAGCACGAATTTCCGAGTTATACTATTGGGAATGTTCCGGGAAATCGCACGTTATGTACGCGCGTGTAAAAACTAACTGTATCGCGCACAAATACGGGCAACAACGACCGCCCGGATTATTCCACGCCATCGACATAAAACGATCCTAATAACAAGTGACCATAGATCTAGTAGGGCTGCTACTCCGAATAATGATCATACGTAGTTCTTTAATATGCAGAATCGTTTTACAAAATGAGTAGAGATGCGACCGTTACCATCAAAGCCACCGGCGACGCTGTCACGAAAAATCTTGCGTCATTTATTGATACGGATGCCCGGAAGAGATATTGACAGACAATGAAACGCAATTACGCTCCGAAAAGCTGCAGCGGAAAGTTTGGGAATCCGACAAAAATTCACGTCGGCATATACATTACAGTGCAATCCTGGAGCGCACTAATCGCACGGTGAAGACAATGATTACACAATACATCGATAAAAATTATCGCCGATGGGACAAGCATATAAGCGAATTGGAATTCGCCTATAATATCGTCGTACACGAGATATACGTCGCCACGGGATATACGCTGGCCTATTTGAATCACGGCCGAGAACTCACTACGCCGACCGCCACTGGATCCGACCGGACAATCGCTGCTGCACATCTCGAGATGACGACCGAGAACCGCCACCTTCAAGAAGCATATAAGATAGTGCAAATAAATCTAGCGAGGGCCTTCCAATGACTTCCCATTACAATTTGAGACACTGGAAACAAGCAATCGGCGAACAAGAATGGAAGAAAATGCATTTGCTCTTCTGAAAAACGATGCGTTTAACGTTAAATTAGCGTCTCGTTACGACAGACAGTATGGAAAATAATATCATCGGTAATTGTCGATTTAAGAGACATGCGAGGACTGACCTCGGCATGCACATGTGCGCGATTTGCGCCCCACTCCGGCTGAGTACACCCACATCGAACGGAAATTCCGAACACGAATTAGAGGGAGAAGAAACAAACAAATAGACAAGAACGACCGCTAGAAAACAATTTGAACCAAACGGAATTACTTTTCGCTGCAACACTATCGAGGATGGAGGAGACTCAGAGAGCTCGAAAAGATCCTAGCGGAGTACGCTAGCTTGGAGTACAATCCCGAAAATCCGGGGATCGGAGAGGAGTGGGCTCGCTTGCGACGACCGCCCGGTTCAACCACCACCGCAACAGTCGCAGCAACTATGACCACCGTCGCAACCGTCGGCCTGAGACCACTGCCAAGATACTGCCGTATGATGTCTTCAATTGGCACTCGTATCCAGAGATCCGATCGGTAACAATAGCAGAAGTTATAGGCCCTTCTGACACCGTTGCCTCTGCTGTAGTCACGGAAACCTCCATCGGCCGACCCGATGGCATCACTGAAACCGACGCTGCAGCCAGAACGGATTGTAGGACCCGAACCGCCGCCACCGATTCCCATGGAAGTAGCGCCAGGAATCATTATCGACGTACCCTACTTCGCCGCGCACGTCAGCCGTCACTACCGAGCCCGACACGGCAATGAGCAATGACTCAGCCGGTTCAATCATAACGGCACGTATGAGCCGCCGAATGAATTAGATTATGCTTCAAATCAGACATTTAAAAGCGGAGAGGAAATGTAACGATGGACCCCCCCCCAACATCGTTTCGTCCGGCACTCCACCGACCGTCCGTTGGCTTTAAAGGCGCAAAAAGCGCCGATAAACTTTCAATAATCAAGATATTAATTACGGCCTACGGGCAGGGGAATCTGCGTTATTTAGCCTGGAGCGGCGGAAATTCCCGAGCGCGCCCGGAAAGGCCCGAACACGTAGTTCGAATTGTCATGCTAACAATAGATAACTTATTTATTGTTATTTTTAATATAATAAGTTAGGGGTAAATTAATATCCGCGGATCGATCCGAAATTTCCGAAACCGACTAAATTATCGATCCGCGGGGTATAAAAAGCCCGATCTGACCGAAATAAGAACAGATTCTCGGAATCATCCGTCCGACTCGCATCAGCCGAGAAGAGATTGCGAGTACGCAGTCCCAGTCAGGAGTTACTGGTCAGAACCGATCTTTGTCTCCTTTCCGACCCGTCAAATCCGCTTGCCAGAGACACTCGATATAGTGTGTTCGCTGTCTCAGCCAGGAGTTACTGGCGCCAGTTAAGTACCTTCCCACCGAATAACACAATGAACGATAATTGCCGTCAGGTGTTTCTGGCCCCGAACACGTCGATGCATTTGCCGCCATGAATGGCCTCCACCGTCTTTCCTCCGAGAATCAACTCGCGATCCGCGCTCGCGAAATTCACCCGCGTCCGCGACGTTTTGATTCAACCGCGCCCGCGATGTTTCGATTCTCGACAGTGCCCGCCATAAGTATTCGCGCCGCGCGTTAAACTATTGTGAACTTTCGCTGTACATAATCGCGTTTCCGTAGCACCGTCTAGTTGCAATGCCGAGATTCGAGATTTATCGTGAAGAAAATAATATCGTAATATTCGAACTACAACACATGGTATCGTCCAGATTTATGTTAATGCGCACCGCTAATCGGTAACGTGATCGAGGATACCTACGCATGAAAATTCCTCTGAAGTACGGTATGCGCATACGCCTCGCCAGCTGGTCCAGTTGTACGTTGGTGGTTACGCCCGGTAGTATCGTCTCTTTGGCGTTTCTTTTTCTTTTTTCACTGTTACGCCTCATCCGCCTTTGTACGGAGCGAAATATGCTCTCTATCCGTACTTGTACAGAGCCAGAGTCTTTGTCCGTGCGTTTCCATCGCGCGATTGTGACGTTGTAGTTCCTCAAGCTGACGCGCGGCTTTCCTGTTGTTTACCGCTTTCGCTACTAATCGCTCGGCCGATCAAGGATTCGAGCACGCCCAATATTGACAGAATCGGTAATGTACCGTCTCGTTTCATTATCGGAAGTATTCATTTCTTTTTTGTCGGTTTTTTTATCGCATCTTGTTTTCTTACTGATGCCAATCTTGGACTTGGCTTTCATCGCTGCCCAAACGGCTGCAGCGGGGGCTCTCTCGCTCAGAATCGAATCTCGCGATGCGTCTGAGGGCTTTATCAGTGAGTATCTTGTCCGCCGCGTGTCTATCAGCGAGATCGTTGCTCCGAGAATACACAATGTTCACGGTATGCGTCTAGTGGATTTATGTCCGTTTCAGCTCTAGCTAATCGCTTCTTCAGCCGAGTACCCAGATCGCAAAATTGATAGCCGGGAATATGTAACAGGAAAGAAAACATGTTTATCGCTCAACTGAGCAGACCTCCTTCGTTTGATGTTATTGCTGACATATGCTACAATCTTTTGTTTTCGACACGAGACCGTTGATGTATGTGCGTTATCATGATTATAATACTCGTCGCAGCGACGATAAGTTCGAATTTCCAAATCTGCCTTTATATGCTCCGGAAGCTTGCCCCTCACGTGGTCGATATAATTGCCGCAAACGGAACAATATGACATTTGATATATATTGCAATTGCTCAGGGCTTAAGTCCCAAAAGATGCGATAGTGCGAGATACATTTGTTCTACTGAGTGATTCGCGGTTTCTCGCGCCTATAAATAGGCAATCGAAATCTAAGTAACGTAATGCGAACATGAAATTCGTGTGGCAGCTGCTGACGATACGCGTCGTGAACTACGATGAGAAAGAGCGAGTGATGGGGGACATGGCGACGAAGCGCAAGCATGGTGAAATGCTATCGAGTACTATAGGCGCATTGGTCCGTCAAATTGCAGTAAAATCAACGTCATAAGCTTGTTTGAGAATCCGCATGCACGTTTCGAGAATGTGTACGTATTCGAAATCGTTGCAACAACCAAAATATTGATATCTCGAAACTTTGTTGACATCGATCGATGAAATCGGTTACTTTATGTTCTTCAACAACAGTGACATTCCACCGAGCGAGACACGTCTCAATTTGATATTCGTCGTCGCATTCGACGACATCGCATGCGATAAGCAAGATGTGATGAGAGGATACTTTTCGATGAGCCGTCACTCGAACGTTGACTACTTCTATCTCTGTTAGACATACATAAACATCTCATACGCGACAATGCAAATCCTCTGATTTTATTCAAATAGGATAGTACCAACTTGAAACATGTTTACAACAATCATGTAAATACTGACATGTCGTATGATGAATTCTGTGCGCTTTGGCGCGATTGTTGGCAGCACGAGTACAGATTTTTAGTAATAAATAAGGAATCCGCTTATCAACGGGTACAGATACAGAAAAGAATTTAACACGTTCACGGTACCATAACATTATTAATCGATGTCAATGTGTCAACTAGGCAAGATGGATAACATCAAAAATGGTGAGAAAATAGCGAAACAAATTGCGGAAACGAGCGATTCGATTCGCAAAATATCGCGCTTTAAAAACTAGTAAAATAGATAAATGTAGCGTTGGAGAAACGCTTCAAGTCTATCGTCAAATCTTTGAAACAGATCATCAAACGCACCGAGGAGTCTCAACCGATTAAAAAAAAAGCCAATGTTGCAAAGAATATCAGTATTCAGAAAAAAAGAAAGATGATGATAATGACGATACTACTAATAGGGATTCATACTGGACGGATGTTGAATTGAAATTAACGCCGCCTAAAAAACGAAACAATTGAACACCACATCAGATTCATTCACGTTCGAGTCTACATCGATAAAACTATCGAAAGAATCACCGATAGAATCATTGAAAGAATTATATAAAGAATCACCAAAGTTACCGCTGTTTGTGTTAAAGGAAAATATTTTTGAAACAAAAGATGTTAATGAATCATCACTTGAAACAACTATCAAACAGACTCCGCAAACACAAGGAAGTTATCAGGCGCTTCAACTAGATCAACTAACAATTAGGACGAAAGTACGTGGGCTTTCTTTTCGGTGATGACATAGATAAATTGACAATGTGTACGATGTCTATTTCGACAAAAGAGTACGATCAATGACAAAAAGTTTGACGTTGACAAAAATGACTCTATAATCAATGACAATATAAGATACAATGGTACACCAGGATTATACGAATTGATCTTCAAGGAACTTCTCTTGATGAGGTTATATTCACCGAAGATGACAAACAAATGTATAAAAATATACTGTTAATAACGAATGCTCATAGACGTGGCCACAGCATCCATAATCCCATCATGAGCAACAAGAGATACAAGTATCTTAACATCATCGCTCTGCTCGTATCTATAAATAAAAAAAGCAGTAAAAAGGGGGCAATATACCATCCACCATGAAGTTAAATGATAACAAGTCGATTATATGTGCATTGGGATGATCCTAACGAGTTGGAGAATCAATTCCGCTTTGTGCCAAGCTAGTCATAACGCTCACGACAACGCGATACTGTCAATCGAAGAACTTCACGAAACCGTCATTATTATAAATTAAATCGCAATCGACGAAACGAGCCAGTCGATTAACGTGATTGAGAAAAAAAAACAATTTTAAATCGTATAATATATCTTATTTAAATATTAATATCAAACATCGTCAAAATATGAAATCGTCAAAATCCGATGGACGTGAAAAAATGTTATCTACGAGAGGCGACGATTTGTTGAGTAATTGCACACTCCGATGAGAAGAAGTTTTCCACGAAGACATGTTATAATTGGGAATACGACGATCTATGGCAGGCTGATATGGTCGAGA